CTTATTTCTTATATCAACAACGCAAATATGGATTTCACATGATGGATAAGTTTCGAGAATCTTGGATTTAAGCTTATCGAGGCGGTCTTGTCTTCTTGCCAATAAAATGTTTTTCAAAAAATTAAACACAATATAGTTTCATTAAATTTGGATTGGTACAATAGGTTATCAAGGATATGAGCTTTGAATTAGCTTTGGCAAACTCTAAAGCTATTGCTTCCCCTATGCCTGATGATGCACCTGTACTATTAATTATTTAAAGTTAAACCGCAATCCTTTTTGAGAACGAAAACTTGGATAGTTTAGTATAATGACTCACATTAAAACAACACGTTTCTGCAAGCTGTGAGACATTTTTTTAGAATTTCCCAAAATTAGAAAATCGATGTGACTTTAAATTTCAGCTATGTAACACGGTATTACGTGTCACACGTAAATAATATAACATAAATAATTTACCGATTCATTTTTCTCAACCCTCTTTAACAATAAAACTGGATTTATGATAACGCTTACAGTACTAGTAATACGAATTTTCGGCATAACGACAAAGCGTTATGGATATAGAAAATAGCCTGGCGCCATTTGTAGTAACAGCAATAGCAGTTTTTGCCCTTGCAACACCATTTTTTGCATCGACACCTAAAAGCAAATCTTCAAAAAATAAAAAAAAGTCTGCTTCCGAAGATAGAAAAACGAATAATAATTATGTTTATGGCTTATTTAACCAAGGAAATAATATTTGTTTCCTCAATGCTGTTTTGCAAAGTCTTGCTTCGTTGAAGAACTTACGGACATATCTAAGAAAAAAACTTGAATCAACCACAAATCACGACGAACGCCTGGTAACATTCGCCTTGTATACTACTTTGGAAAAACTTAATGAACCATTAACCTCACAAGATTCATTTAATCCAACGAGCATAGTTTGGGCTTTACAAACTGCAAATATAAAACGTCTTATTAATAGGCAACAACAAGATGCTCATGAATTATTTCAACTTTTATCAGAGTCATTAAGTGTTGAAGATGAAATCAGTCGACGACCAAAGTCTCTTTTTGATGTTGATACCATAAAGTTATTAGCTAATAATAACAAATGTACTACTATTAGTTTAACGTCTGGCCGAAACCCTCTTATCGGGTTAACGGCATGTCGAATTTCTTGTATGAAATGTGGTTATTGTGGACCTATTAGGCATTCTTCTTTCGATAACATTTCAATTCCTCTTCCAAAACAGAATGTTGTAACTCTGGAAACACTTCTTAAAACTTATTCCGGAATCGAGTTTATCGATGAATATAATTGTCCACAATGTAGTTTATTGGAAACATTGGCTGTTATAGAAAATCGATTAACTATTTCTGAGAAAAAATATTTAAATAAATTGGAGGCAGATAAACAAATTGTTAAGGAAGCCTTAGCTACTGATGTAGACATAGATGATAGTAAATTGAAATTAGAAGTAGCACAATTGATTCGTATGAACCTTCCGGCTACAAAACAAACCATGTTTGCAAAACTCCCTGAGATTATGGCACTTCATTTTTCTCGATCAATTTATCTTCAAAATGGGATGACTTTGAAAAACTCTTGTAGAGTTATATTTCCCGAATTCATAGATCTTGCACAATATACAACTACCGGTTATCTAGCAACAATGCCCAGCGAACCCCTTTCCTCTCCACCTGCATCACCAACTACTTCGTCACCTGTATTGTCGCCTATTTTAGCAGAAATTAATGATGCACGTCGTCACGTCGGTGAGGCCACCGATGCTTCAATCTATCGACTAAAATCGGTAATAGTTCATTTGGGTGATCACAGACTCGGTCATTTTGTGACATATAGACGTCAAGAAGAAGCACCAAATGCTTGGTGGCGTATATCTGATGAAAATGTTGAAGAAGTTAGCTTAGCGAAAGTATTAGAACAAGAAGCATATATGTTGTTTTATGAAAAGGGTCAAAGTTGATTTTTTATTTTATTTTATTTTTCCTGATTAGCATGTAAATATAATTTTCCTTGCATGCGGTGTTTTTTAATTTGTAAATATTGCATTGGATTTGTTTTCCGTGTGGTTGCAAATAAAATTATAAAAAAAAAACCATTATAAACTCATTAATGCTGATGTAACTTGTCTGAAATTCTTATGATTATGTAAAGTATTTTCACGTGATCTAGAAATAAAAATGTATTTTTAGATCGATACTAGTTATAAACATCTTCACCTTTACAGAATGGGTAAAAAGAAACAGAGAAATCAAAAATCTGGTAAATCGTCAAATACTGCAAATGATCCAATATCACCAACATCGCTATCGGCAGAGCAATCTTCCAATCCAACTTCTAT